GGCGCGGGGAGCTCTGCCCTGGCCGCCTCGCCCCCCTCGCGGTTCTCTCCCCGCAGCCTCCGCTCCTGGCCGTTTTCATTGGGGGTTTCTTCTCTCTCTCCTTACCTGCCTCAAAGGTCTGACTGTAAGTGCTGGAGCGGGGATCACCGGCGCATAAAGATGCTGAAGGGTGTTTGGTTGCTCAGTTTGTTAACAGTGGCTGGGATCTCGCAGACAGAGAGTCGCAAACCTGCCAAAGACATTTGCAGCAAGAGCCGCTGCCCTTGCGAGGAGAAGGAGAACGTGCTGAACATTAACTGTGAAAACAAGGGATTTACAACTGTCAGCCTCCTCCAGCCACCACCGTCCAAGATCTACCAGCTGTTCCTCAATGGCAACGCACTGACCCGGCTCTTCCCCAATGAGTTTGTCAACTACTCCAATGCTGTGACCCTTCACTTGGGGAACAACGACATGCAGGAGATCCGCACCGGGGCCTTCAGCGGCCTCCGCACCCTCAAGAGGCTGCACCTCAATAACAACAAGCTGGAAGTGCTGAGGGAAGACACGTTTCTGGGCTTGGAGAGCCTGGAGTACCTGCAGGCTGATTACAACTACATCAGTGCCATCGAGGCGGGTGCCTTCAGCAAGCTGAACAAGCTCAAGGTGTTAATTCTCAATGACAACCTCCTGCTGTCCCTGCCCAGCAATGTCTTCCGCTTTGTGCTCCTCACCCACCTGGACCTGCGGGGGAACCGGCTGAAGATGATGCCTTTTGCTGGTGTGCTGGAGCATATTGGAGGCATCATGGAAATTCAGCTGGAGGAAAACCCTTGGAACTGCACTTGTGACCTGCTGCCCCTCAAGGCCTGGCTAGACACCATCACCGTCTTTGTGGGTGAGATAGTCTGTGAGACGCCCTTCAGGCTGCATGGGAAAGATGTGACCCAGCTCACCAGGCAAGATCTCTGCCCTAGGAAGAGCTCCAGCGACTCAAACCATCGGGAAAAGCAACCTGCCCTCTCAGACCCACACATCTCGAGGCTGTCGCCCACAGCCAACTCTGCCATCAGTCCTACCAGAGCCCCAAAAGCCAGCCGCCCCCCCAAAACCAGGAACCGCCCCACGCCCCGGGTCACTGTGTCAAAAGACAGACAAATATTTGGACCTATCATGGTTTACCAGACGAAGTCTCCTGTGCCCATCACCTGCCCTGCTGGCTGTGTATGTACTTCGCAGAGCTCAGACAACGGCTTAAACGTGAACTGCCAAGAGAAAAAGATCAGCAACATCTCCGATCTCCACCCCAAGCCCACCAGCCCAAAGAAACTTTACCTTACCAGTAACTATCTGCAAGTCATTCACAGGACGGATCTCACAGAGTACAGCTCTCTGGATTTGTTACACCTCGGAAACAACAGAATTGCAGTGATACAAGAAGGTGCCTTTACAAACCTCACGAGTTTACGTAGACTTTATCTTAATGGCAACTACCTTGAGATTCTGTACCCTTCTATGTTTGATGGGCTGCACAGCCTGCAGTACCTCTACCTAGAGTATAACGTCATCAAGGAGATCCTGCCACGCACCTTTGATGCTCTGAGTAATCTCCACCTGTTATTTCTCAATAACAACCTGCTCAGATCCTTGCCTGACAATGTCTTTGGTGGCACTTCTCTCACCAGACTGAACCTTAGAAACAACCATTTCTCACACTTGCCTGTGAGAGGGGTCTTGGACCAGCTCTCAGCTCTAATTCAGATTGACCTTCAGGAGAACCCTTGGGACTGCACGTGTGATATCATGGGGCTGAGGAACTGGATAGAGCAAGTCACCAACCAGAACAAGCAGCAGACAAATCCCCCTGTAGTCATCAATGAAGTCATATGTGAGTCCCCCACCAAGCACTCCGGAGAGCATCTGAAATTCCTCAGCAGAGAAGCCATCTGCCCGGAGAACCCGAACTTGTCCGATTCGTCCCTCCTGCCCATGAACCAGAACACAGATGTGCCCGATCTTCCTGGCATCTCACCCAGTTCTTATCCAGAAATACACACCGAAGTCCCGCTCTCTGTCTTAATTTTAGGCTTGCTGGTTGTGTTTATTTTGTCGGTCTGTTTTGGGGCAGGCCTGTTTGTCTTTGTCCTCAAGCGTCGGAAGGGGGTGCAAAGCATGCCCAGCAGCGCAAACAACTTAGACCTAAGTTCCTTTCAGCTCCAGTATGGGTCTTACAACACGGAGACCCATGATAAAACCGAAGGGCATGTTTATAACTACATCCCCCCTCCGGTTGGACAGATGTGCCAAAACCCAATCTACATGCAAAAGGAGGGGGATCCCGTGGCTTATTACCGGAATCTCCATGACTTTAGCTATAGCAATCTTGACCACAAAAAGGAAGATCCTGCCCCTCTCGCATTTACAATCAGTGCAGCTGAACTGCTGGAGAAGCAGTCTTCGCCGAGGGAACCAGAACTGCTCTATCAAAACATTGCAGAAAGGGTCAAGGAACTCCCCTCCGGAGGATTAGTTCATTATAACTTTTGCACCTTACCCAAAAGGCAGTTTGCCCCTTCCTATGAATCGAGACGCCAAAACCAGGACAGGATAAATAAAACTGTTTTATATGGGACTCCCAGGAAATATTTTGCAGAACAGTCTAAACCTGAGCATCCTTTACTGCAAGGAAAGCTACACACAGAACCAGACTACCTCGAAGTTCTGGAAAAACAAACAGCAATCAGTCAGCTGTGAGGGGGGAGGTGGGAGAGGCAGTTTTTTTTTTTTTTTTTAATGAGCTCGACATCAAATTTGATTCTGAACTCAATACTGATGTGATCTGTCACGTTTCCAACATTTCCACTTTTTAAAATTAGAGAACGAGAGAGAGAAACAGAGACCTTACAGCAGAGCGGGGTTATGGTGTTGCATTTGCAACATTCCCTTTAAGTTATTTCTATATCTCTCTCCTTTTGACCCTCCTGTAGGAACTGTCTCTGCAAATGTATGTTTCTGTACTGGATCTTGCATAATGCTTTTTGATTTGCAAAGAAATGACAGAGGGGTCTTTGGAGTTTTTCTTTTGTTTTTCTTCTTTCCTTTTCATGTTAAAGTGGAAACAATGTATTATGTAGAAGATCTGCAAAGATCTATTTTCCTGGACTATTCTTTTGTAAATAATAATATACAGTACTGCTGTTTCAATTACCAAGTATAGCCACTGGGCGTCACTTTTTTGTGTTAAAGTGCCTTTGCACTTTAAGTACATTATTACTTAATTGTTGCTCTTAGCTTTGATAAATTGAACCTATTTTAATGTGTTGTATTTTTGAAATTAAAAAAAAAATGTAAAATAGATCTATATGTCAGCTGCATTAAATCAGAAGGTTTGATCTACAGGAAAGCTGCCCTTCCTTAAGTGAATCTAGTTCTAATGAATCTTATAGATGTAAATTACTGGGGTATCTTTTTCCCTCTGGGTTTGATTCATTGACATCCACTAGGAGGATTTAGCAATGGGGTAGAGGTTACCAAATGCTTCAGCTGGGAGTAACAGTTCATAATAACATACATTTAACACAATATCCTAGCGAACTGAACAATTAATGTCCTTCTTAACTCATTGCATTGCAGCTCTAATCCAGTAATGTTCAGTGGTTTAAGATTATTTTCATACTTAAGAGAACATTACTTGTAGTCTATTTTACACATTAAATTAGATTTTTTTTATACATTTATGATAGTTTATACTTCTAACTCTTTTGGACTGAAATTAACATGTTTCCTGACAGGTGAATCTTTTATTATAAGCATGGACACCAGCAGGGGTCATCCCACACCTCATTAAATATGTTAGCATAGAGGCAAAATGATCCAGTGCCAAAAGTGAGATATGAACCCAGGTTGCTCGAGTCCTCCAAATCAAGGTAGCAGAGACCAGTGTGTGCATTGCACTAATTTCAGTGGTCTGCAGCATTTAAGGATTTCTGTTGCTAAAGCAAAAGTGATACTGCAATAATTCTAACCTACTTGGGAAATAATGTCTAAGTCTGCTATCTTCAGTTTTATAGAGTGTTGAAAGTTGCTTGAATTCCATTCTCAACATTAGCTTTAAGTCCATCAGTAAACGGATGCAATGCATCTTCTCATGTCCCATTAACTAAGGCCTGTATTCCTTCAAGCTTTACCTTATCACCTTCTATTTGCATCTCTTTCCTTTATTAACAAGTATACAGTCAAACTTTATGGAGACCTATTAGCTTCTAAATAATTTTTAGATGCAAATATTATTGTGTGATTTAAACAAACAGCCCTTATTTACAACAAAAACAGTTTTGTTTTGTCTATTGTAAATCCTTATGCAACTGGGATGGTGATCTGCATATAAAGTAGGCCAGGCTTTTCAATTCCTTATTAAAGCAATTGATGGAGTCTGAAAGAAGCACACTGTTTCCCTTTCATAAATAGGTTACTGCACATAATAATCCTTTATTATCATGCAGAGATTGAAGTGGACTCTGCTGACTGATTTTTTTTTCAGAGCTTTACTACAGTTAATAATACAGTATCTACAACTTTGAGAAATTTTAAGCAGTAGCATTTGAGCTATAAATGACTAAAATCAATGCTTTTTTAATCAGTACTTTGCCAAAAGGAAGTCACTTTATATTTAAGAGCTAAACAGCCTTTGCATGTATATTGCCAGATATCTGAGTCATTCAGTAAAATGTCTTCTAATGATTTATGTGACACCTGAGTACATTAATATGCTAACATGTCAATTCTTTATGTTTAGAGTCCATAGCATCTATGGCTGTTCTTTAGATCAGGTTTAAAACTGAAGTGCTACAAGTCACTACTGAAGAATCAGTCTCACATCAAGAAGGAGGCGAAATGCTCTCACATTAGTGGAACTGGGAACATTTAACTGGAATAGCATCCATCTTTGACTGAGGTACTTATTTGAAAGCTTCCAGTAGTGAGTGTCTTATTATGGCTGCTTTCCCTGGGTACAGTTAAAAGCATTTACTGCTGAAACGCTTGAGAAAAGCAAGTATAAGGATTATTTAAAGGCAAAGTTCTTTAAAGTATTAACTCTGTGTGGTAGCACAGCCATATTTTACAGAGGATGCTGTTGCTTTACATTTTATTAGCTTTGTTGAGAGAATTTGATTATCTTTAGTTGCATTGATTTAGCAAATATATTTTATTTTGCCTCACCTGTACCAACTTAAAATCATCACTGCTGTAGATCTTTGGGGGGTTGTGCTTATACACTTCTGCTGACATGTTTTAAACATTTTTCTTTCATAGCGTGTACGGGTAAGAGAGATTCTTTTTCCACTTATGCTTTGAGATTTGGCTGGGCAGCTGCTGTTCTGTGGGAGTCTGTCCCCTCCTTTAGCCAAGTGGCCCTGGATGCTGCTGCTCATTAGGAATAGTACTGCTTACCTGAGCGATTCCTTCCTAACGCGTCTGGAAAGGTCTTCCTCATGGTTGGCAAGGCTGACCAGTGAAAAGTATGAAACCAGAGTAGTGAATATATATATATATATATATATGTAATATAAGAAAGTGGGATGCAAATTGCTTTCCTTCTAAGTTGTGTTTTGGGAAAGTGGCTATAATGAGCTGTTCAGGAATAAGAATAGTGCGGACTGAAACAATGTTAGAGGTATGCAGTTACTTCCAGGGCAAATGAGGGACAGTGCGTTTCCAATGCATGAACGCACTTTTGAGCAGGAGGTATTTCTGTGTGAGCATGAAGTAAAGTTTGGCAGAATAATCTTAGGAAGAGGATTGCAACAAATGTCTTGAATGGCAAATGGGGCCAGCCAAGCATGCCCTGGAGCAGTGGTGGTGGTGGCAGCAGACAGCACCTCACCTCTGGTTTCTGTGCTCCCCAAGAAAGCTGTCCCTCTTGAGCCAGCTCCTCGCTGCACTCCCACCTCTCCTCTCAGATCTGCCTCTCCGAGCTCATCCATCTTTCTCTCCATCCTCTTCATTCTATGATTCCTCTTCTTCCCCCCACTGGCTCTGGAGCAACAGTTTCCCCCTTGAAGGGGGATGCATGTCACTGCTTCATTCGTACGTTGGCTTCTTCCTCCTTCTGTGATGCTCCTCTGAGCTCAAAGTGCTCCTGTGGCCATGCTGGAGGAACATCAGAAAGCTGCTCCCCTTTCCCACTTGCTGAGCAGAGGAGAGAAGCGTGAGATCGAGCAGGGTCGCAGCTTCCACACCGCCACGGCAATGCAAACGGCACTTCTGAACAGGAATAAATTGATGAGGTATTTGAAATTATTGGCATTATGCTGTGCCCTGCTGTAATTCCAAGGGGTGGATGTTGTCTTCAGCAGGGTCTAATTTTGCCATAATTGCCTACTAAAACTTAGGGCTGTAGTTAGCCTGGTTGCGTAGGGTCTCTTGAGACAATGTCAAAAATCAGGCCCTTCAAAAGTGATTTATTTCCTCCCAAAATATGTGGCATGGTGTCCGCCAGCTTCTTTCCACTAGTTACAGAGAAGCTATGTGATGAGCATTGATTCCATAGGTCATTCCTGTATAGCTGAAATAAGCCAAACCTGCTCCTCTTCTGCACTGCTGTACATTAATGTGCAACATGTGCTCTCCTGGGTGTCTGAGAGGGTTCCAGCCTGTCCATGAGACACATGTGCCTTTAGAGCTTATGGACTGCTGCCTTTAGAGGCACTCGCTTTTTGGTAGACCTTCTCATGCTGATTGATAGTTTCCTATCAGCATGACTTGGGTTGGGTTTCCTACTCAACAACATTTAAGTTTTTTTTGTTTTTCCTTCCCAAGAACATTTAAGTTTAGAAAAGTTTGATCGTTATTTTATAAAGCTAGAAACTGTAATTAATAGTATCAAAATAAAGGTACCAATAAGTTAAATTGCCTAAATAAGTTTTAACTAATGCTGACCTTGTGTAGGGCTGCAAATGTCATAATTTTAAACTGCTCATGAGTGAAATGAGATACTGGAAATGTCAATGAAAGTTCTTATGCTCTTACAAGTTAATCACTGATACAGTTTGTGATTTTCTCCCTATACTGTTGTTGCAGATAGTAAATGTCATTTAACAGAGGAAAAAAAAAAAACCCACTATTTCCCAAAGTTCCTTCCCTCTTAAGAATAACCCCCCAAACCAACAGGTAAATTAACTTACAGAGATGATATGACATTTCCTGGTATTCTTCTCTTCACTTTTTCAAAGTATTCTGTAGGAGAAATACAGAAGTTATTCTTTTGTTAGAAGATCATTAAGCCTGTTTGGATTATTGATCTCATAGCTTTTCTGGGCACCAGGCCAATCATTTTGACTAAGGTTTTTAATCCTAGCTAATGAGGGAGGTGAATTAATGAGATTTTTTTTTGCCTTTTTTGTGTTGGAGGGTTGTTTGGATTTTTTTTTAGAAGCAGTAGACTGACATGTTTATGAATACAGATGAACAGATCATTTTGAATGAAAGAAGTGTTGGAGATGCAGTCATTTGAAGGACCAAGCAGGCTCATGAGTATGAATGATGTGTGAAAAACAAGACGTCATAAAACTCGTTTTCTTACTGGTACTATAAATTCAGAGGGCCCACATTTGAGTACAGCAGTGGATTTTGTTTCATAGTGTTAAGAACTTGAGGGAGTGAATTTGGAGTCCGGATGCATCACCCCTATGTTTAAATTTGCTCACCACCGCTCTGCTTGAATATGTATGTATTCATATAAACTTTAGAAGAGCAATGCTAGTTACAGTATTTCCCAAATCCCTTCCTATATGCATATTTTTTAAAAATGCAATCATTAACCATCTATATAATTAATGAGACAGGTTTATAGCTTCTGAAGACCTTTATAAAAACTAAGTTTTCACCTTTTCAACTTTTCACTAACTTTTTCTAATCAATATACATGACTAGTTAAAAAACAACACATTAACATCACTGTTGAGCTCATGAGGATGTTGACACTACCTTTTAGAAACGGAGATAATTTGCATTGTTATTTGCAGTAAAACAGGATTTATGCCATGAGAAATTATTGCATGCCTGCAATACCACCTCAGGATGCTTTATGGTGACAGAAAGGAGTCCCGATTTGTGCCTTAGCAACACGGGCTCCTTGTGCCGCCTCTTCTCGCCCTGTGTGTGCGTCTCTCCGAGAGCCAGGAGCGTTCGGCACCAATTATCCCCGGAGCGGGAAGCGCCGCAGCCATTTTAAGAACATTGTCTGTGTTGGAAGAGACACAGCTAATGTACATAGACCTGTTGCGGTTAACTCCTCTTGAGATAAGAGCTATTTCTATACGAAAGCTGTGGGGGAAAAAAAAACCCTTGAAAACACTGATAGTATGACAGGGTCTATTTTAAGACCTCTTGATGTT